TCCAGTCTGCAAATTCGCACCCACCCAATAAAAATCCTGCGTACAGGTCTGTGTAGTATTTTTTTCTTCGTATGGCTCTCCAAATTCACATTCGTTGGCTTTCTCCTTTAAACGTGAAGAATAGGTAGCTGTCGTTTCGTCTTTTGTCTTCCTTATTTTGAGAAATAGGTATTGTGCATGGTGCTTGTTCTGCTTTGGTTTATCAATGATGTGCTTGTTGCTTAACCATAAATCTCCAGCTGGATTTAGACAACTTTTCTTTAGGCTTGCAAGTTTTTCTCCAATTATCATAGAATCTTTCTTAACTTCTGGCTTAGTGATTCTAGGTACCGGTATCTGGATTCTCGTTCTAGACATTCCAGCCATTCTTCCCATGCTTCACTGCGTGTGGATCTGGTTTTCATGGGTTGTGTAGTAAATGATTGGATTCGTAGGTTTCTTGTTTCTAATGTGAGTAACGAATATGTGCGGTGCGGACGCCTACTAACGTGTGCTGCTAAATAAATTTGCAATACTAGGCATTGCTATACAGTACTATTGAATATAGCTTGTATTTGCTTTAATATCGTAACCAGGAGCGGATGTAGGGGCGCCCCCCCCCCCCACTTTTTTTTTGGAAAGTAAAAAATAAATCCTCGTTGTCATGAAACATTCCGTATGTAATATTAAATGACACACAGGCTACAGTTAGAACTCAGAACACATTGACATAAGCCAACATAACAAGTCTGCTTCGCTCAACAGAGGCGCTATATAGCATATCACAAGCTCAGTGATTGGCTGTTCTCTTGTAGTTTCTTTTCCGGTATTAGTGTATTCGCCTTTTAGAGAGCTCTGTATTATTCCTCCATGAAGACAGATTCAGTAAATGCGGATCACTCTCGCATTTAATCTCAAATGACGACTGAATTGTAAGTAAATCAGTAAAGGTTTTCATGAATACGATTTTTTTAGCTTATGTAGGCCTAACAACAAGTATTCAGAACTCATTGCCAGACGAAAAACCTTTCAAAAAAGATAGACCTATTATTTCGTTCCCCTAGAGCGCAGAACGATACACTCGGATAGTTTTTTGAGGAAGTTCAAATACTATCTATTTAGGAACTTTTAAAACAGTATAGGCCTATTTGGGTTCAACTTGAAGTTTTTTTGCTATGAATTTGTGTTATTAATTGCCTGGAATATATTATTAAAGGGCGTGTATTGTTAGTATATTATTATTAGAATTGAATTTTCCAATGTGGCTAAAAATAGCATAGTCTATACAAGAGACAAAGCACAGACACATAAAATAGCTTTTTTGGAAATTCCCAATCGTAAGTGATACAGTATAGTTTTCTGTACGGCACGGCGATTGCTTCTCTGTACTGGGGTCAATGCTTGTCCGAAGGTCCTTTTAGTCCAAAGGGCCTTTGGTCCGAAGGGCCTTTGGTCCGAGGGTCCATTGGTCCGGAGTAGTTAATTCAAATATAGACAAAAATATATTTGAAGAAAACACATGTTCAGGACCACCATGTAGGTTTGGCTAACAATATACAATTATTGCTAGCATGACTTAATTGTCAGCTCAGTTTATGCATATTTTGAACAAATTATTAGAAATTGAAAAGATTCCAAGCGAATGGAGCGTAAGTATAACTTCCTAATGTTTAAGCAGGAGAGAGAGAAGATTTTAAAACAATAAGGGAATTCAAGTAACTTCCATCCAGTGTTTGGAAAATCTTAACAGAATTATTTACTTATGGCCGATGGGAAACTTTCTTACTTTCAACGTAGACACATTGACAGTGGCGGCGAAAGCATCTGTGGGGTGGGGGGGGGGGG